ATATATATATATATATATATATATAGTAGTAGTAACAACAACAACAACAACAATAATAATAATATTAAAAATAATAACAACAACAACAATAGAAGTTCTCTACCAAGTCTAAAATTGATGGAATGTATATCTATACAAAAAGCAACTTGTAGCGCATGGAAACTTACTATTTCGCTTGTTCTAACTTATAAATGAACTTAGGTAAATATCCATGAGTCACCTCTTTGAAAGAAATTCGAGCGAGGTGTCACATAAGAAGAAGAGCTTTGTTCTAACCTCGATACTCTCACTTGTGGTGAGTCTGGACCATATTCTCTCTCGATCTATAGCTCGCTGAAGCTGCTTTTGGACAAGACTCACCCACAATATAACCTCGTCAGTTCCTGAATCATTTTGTACTCTACATGCTGCAGCTCTGGGACCAAAATGGACAAGAAATTCTCTACGCAGACCAATAGGCTTCACGGAATGATAAGCCTGTCGGAGAGGAATAAATTCGACAAGCATGTTCATCAATCTTCCAAGTGTGTCTGGAATAACAGACGAAAATTGTGTACACGACAGTTTTGCAGCACCAAGTTTCATAACCGCTGCAATGCAACTGAGTGCAAGCATAAGGAGTGATACAGCACCTGCATTTCCAGGGGACAAAGATTTTTGCTTTCTGGTCCTGAACAGAGAGGAACCTATTTAAGCATCAATTAATACACGCATATATATATATATATATATATATGCGCAGAATATCAATGTATTCATGGTTCTTTCAGTCAGTACATACACTGTAGTAGCAGCAGCAAATCGCTGATCCTTCTCAAAATAATTCACAAAGGTGGTAACCACTGCTGGAATTTGCTCAGACCAAAACCAATCATAAGCTTCAGGTTGCTTGGCTAATAAACTATCTCTAATCACGCTCTCCAACGGAGCAGATTGCCTCGATAAACTTCATTGATGCAAAAATCACATCAGAATAATATGTTTCAAATCAAATGGCACTAGAGAGGGAAATGAAGCCGTTCAAATCAACCAAACCAAAAAATTGAAGAGTAGGAACCAACACAATAAAAAAATAAAGAACGGAGTAAATTTAAAAGAGCCTGCAGTTCCACACCAAAAAGCAATGGGAGAACATCCTACATTTTTATCTAGCTTAATATAAGCACTATGCATTGTGCTGTAGCTAAATTCAGCTTAATGCACTCACTGACATATACCAGAACCCCAATTCAGTAATACATAGCATTCATTTATATAGTTGTGGGAGGTAAGTGTCAACAATCATCTTATCCTAGGGTCAATACTAGATAATAAATAATGAACAAGTAAAACAAGAACTCATAGCACTGAATATTCTCTTCTCCTATATAGCAAAGGATGAAACTTGAATACTTGATCAAGGGATAGTATAAGGAGATGAGGACAAACTCAGGAAAGATAAAAAACAAAAATAGAATTCAGGTGTACGAGCTAAATGACAAGCAATTTCTCTGAGAATCCCCTCGTTCTCGGAGACTGAACGAAGTGGCACCGGAAATCAGAGACTGTTACTGAACTTCTGGCTACCAACAGACAGTTGTCATCCTGAGGAGAAGGAACTTAAAACATGTCCAGATTAGGTTATTTGGAATTCCCGCTCCTACGGTAGGACGATTTATTTGTCAAGATTGGAAGAAGGTGTGGCGCAACGTAGATATAGATGCCGATGCCAGTCAACTGATATGAGAAAAGCTGAGTTCTTAAGTAGCAGGAATGACTACCATCAACGTTATCAATGGAAGTCGACAAAATAGCAATCAAGATCCTACAATTAATAGATCGGAAATAGACTAGACTTCCATGTTGATCGGAAGTGAAATTGCTAGAAGTGTACCACATTGAGAAATATAACGATAGTACTATATGACGAGGTATAAAGGATATAGGTGTCAGATATTTGTCTAACACGTCACAAA